TCTCTGAGTCTTATATAAAATGTTAAGTCAAACCTCCTTAACTCCTTGACTTAACTTTCGCCTAAAAGTATTTATTTCATAGAATTTTGTGAAAAAAAATAAGTTAAATTTTCTTGTAATTTTTGTATTATCATACATTTCTGGTAAACTGCCCACCTACCCCTCCCCTAAGCCAACATTTTGCCCTAAGTAAGAAGTAAGTGTTCATGTTGGCTTAGGAGAAGCATAGGTGGGCAGTTTTCCAGAGACGCATAATGATCCTTTCTAATTTTTTCCCCTTTGGGCACTAACTGGAGTAAAAGAGTTAATACCACACACACACAAAAAAAATACAGGGAAGAAGAAAAAAACCCACATTATACACACTGTAAGATGTGTCTGCATTACAGGTGTCCGTATGAATTTGTGGACGTAGGAATTGTATGATTTGGTATCTTTGGGACCAGCAGAACTGTCCGTGGTAATTAAAGCACTTTCCATGCTGAAGAGGAGCTCTTCATCCATAGAGGCTCCGCTGCACATGTTCCTCACACCCACTTCAATCTTAGATTGGACTGGTTATTGCCTGATGCAAAGCAAAGGCTGTGATGTAAGACATGATCGTCCAAAAATTTCAACTTTTTTCAGCTGAATCTACCCCCTCAGAAGGATTGTTTATTTCTTGATGAAGAGCATACAGCTGAAGCAACTGTTCCTCGCGTATATTTGACACCTGGTCTTCCGACATATGACTTCCAAAGTCATTTCCTTCCTTTTGTTGTCCCTCCAACATATCAGCATAAATCTGGATGCAGAAAGAAAAAAAAGTGATCTAAAGTACTCACTGGAAAGCTATTTCATAATTATTTACTGGTAAGTGATGGTGATCACAATGCTACAGCAAACCACTTTAATAAGGACACCAAAGGGACAGAACCAAGTGTCCACTTTACAGAAGTGTCTGTATTATAGAGGTAGGGAATGTGTGATTTTTCGCATTTCTGGGACCAAACAAACTGTCCGTAATAGAGAGGTGTCCGTATTATAGAGGTGTCCGTAAGGAGAGATTAGACGGTATTTACATCCAAAATAGTCTTCTTATTTGATGAAATGTGATACTTCCACAAAGTACATGTATTGTCACATGTAAACAAGGCATGGTCTTATGGGAAACAGCCAGTTTTGCTCCCCTTTACCCCGTTTGACTTTGATCCCCGATTTGATTGTGATTAGGGTCAAGAGCTGACAATAATGCTAAGTGTTAAGCACTGACTCAAAATGGTTCGCTAGGTTCTTATTTATTGTAAGGTTTTTCACAATAATAATGGTTATGTCATGGATTGAACTCAAACCAGGTGTAAAACATTACAGTAATACATTCAGAACTCCCAGCCACTTGTCAAAACATGTTAACCCTTAAAGTCCCAATTCAATTTTATCCCAACAATTCTTGGTTTGCAACCGCGTGACAAGGTGGCCATGTTAGGGGTCAGCACAATAGAATTTTTTCTCGAATAATTTACATGAAAATAGAGTTTAGTTCCCAAAGGAGAGAAAGGCTTTTGTTCTTGACCACCGACATGGTTGTTGTGATGTCATGTACAAACTAGCAATACCTTTAATGTACAGTGTAATATAGAGGAAAGGTTATGAGGATTGACAAATTGATCACCAAAGCGAAATACTTTGATCTTTTATTGAATTCTTCCAACTAATTTTTTATGGAAATGTACGGCTGAGATCAGTCTGAAGAATTTCTTTGTTGATGTTGGGGTTTTAAAGGGTTGAAAAACAAGGTGTAACACAACAAGGACTTTCGTTATCCAACAAGATGTAAATATAAAGTGGCCAGGAACAATGGATTGGAAGTTCAATTTCTGTTAGCTATTGCATAACATCAACGTTTACTCACCCAAGAATTATCGGCCTATCATTCTGTGATAGTGTCAATTAAAACGTTCTTGGGTTTAATTAATTAAAAATGGCTGTACTATAACGCAAATCTCTTCAGGATATTAAAAAGATATATAAGCAAGCCTAAATTTCAGCTTATGAACAACATGTCAGCCAACCTTCCATTCCTGAATGAACTCTGCGAGTTGCTCACGAGTTGCATTTTTGTGTCGTCTGAACTCGTCCTTTAAATACTGGTCTCCTAAAGCCTTAGACGCAAGGGGAAGTTTTCTGTGTAGCTTGAGAATACGTCGGTAGAGTCTTACAGTCGAATTCATGGCATGAAATTGCACCAAATTATCGACAAAATTCTTACTGCAAAATCTCAGCAATGTCACAGGCACTATCTTAGCTCGTACCCAGTCTCTCGCCGTTGTTTACTTTCGCACACTGCCAAGAAATGAAACGAACAGAAAAATTCATGTGAATATATTTACAATACTAATAGTGTGTTATGGCCAGGTGAAGGCCCTTGTGGGAAGTCAGGTCAGATCTGTTTTGGCGTTCCTACTCACCCACAATGTACGTTCAACGCGTGCCGGTAGCAAATGGAACAAGACGTTCGAGTACAGCTGGGCTTTGTTCAAGGTAGAAATGGCGGCCACCAGTCCATCGAATAATTCATCTGCAAGTCAGAATGCGACGGGAGTTTGGAATCGGTTGAAGCCCGAAGAATTTCAACAGCTTCAGGAATACACCAAGTGTAAGATAGCCCTGCTCTGCTTTCTTAATTGTTATTGGAAGCTCTTGAATCCGCCATTATGCTTGTAGTTTATTGATAAGCAAATTTAGTCTTTAACGGCTGAATGATGCTGTCCGTGAACTGAACTTGAAGGTCAAAATTTCGAGGGGTCTTCGTTTACTAAAAGGTTAACATACACGAACATTCTTTTTACCTGATTATTTTGAAATGGAAGATTAACGCGGGAGTTGAGTCATAAGCTGGAATGTATTGGCAAACGATTTATTTTTTATGAAAAATTGCTACGACCGAAGCTTTGCTTGTGTTTACATCAGGCACCCATGCTGTTTGTGGGGAAAACTCACAAGAAATTATGATTATGCCTCTGTGTAAGTGTTAATATCACTAAAACGAGCCGATTACAAACTGAATAACACATTTATATTGTCTGCGAGGAAAAACGAATCCAGGTTTTAATACCTTACCTATTGATCGAATCTTGTTGGAACATGTTCACGCTAGTGATAATAATATGGCGGCTAGTGTTATTGGTATATTTTTTACATGTACAAACAATGCCGCTCGTAATTTTAAAGACAAGAGAAGATTTGGGTGGGTGCATTTTATCTGTGCCAAGGTGCGTTTTGTGTTTTAGCTTTTCTCTTCACAACAATAGACTTTAGCTTAGAAACCACGTACACTCGAGTGTAAAATTCGGGCGCTATTAAATATTCTATTCAAAGTTATTTTCTGTTTTCAATCTTACAGAGACATGTTCAATCAATGGATTGTTGTTTCGTTACTCTCTTAGCGTTATATTAACATATTATAATTTGTTCAATTTTAAATTCTTTTTACCGAACTTTAAATTTTTTCTGGTTTAGGGGGCAAGTTCGTAAACGTTTACACTTAATTGACGTTTCGCAAATTATTACATTTTGCTTTCCCTTATTAGAAGGTCTCTAAGCTAGCCCTTTCTTTAAATGAACAGCTCATAGCGACTTTTGTGTCGGCTTTTAATCTTAAGATTTTACTTAATTTTTAATGTCACATTGGCGTAGTGTACAACAAATTTTTCCAACTTGTTATTTCATCTTTTTTTCTTGGCTATGTAATTTCTGTGGTTTTTGAGTGACAAGTTGATGCTTTGTGAATCATATTCATTTTCACTCATCACCAAATGTCAGGTACTTGGAAACCTTACTTGTCTCACCAGCCATAATCCATTGTGCCTCTTCAAGATTTAAGAGGACATAAAATTCAGCCTTTTAATATTTTGGTTCAATTAGAAATATCACAATCCTATTTCCTACCAATCATATTCTTGATATTTTCATGTTACACCCACCAGCTCTTATATTATCCCAAGAAATGTCTAAGTGTTTTCATAAAATATTTATAGCTTTTGGTATGCAAACACTGGGAGACAAACAAAATATCGTCATATTATTTTCCCCAATATCAAAGTTAAAGATTTCCAGGCATTATAGGAATTTTTCAAACATTGATTTTTTTTCTTAAATGATCATTATTTTCTTTCAGCATGTCCAGAGATTTATTTCAAAAGTGATATTGAATTCTGTGTTACTGTTGTTATAAACTGACTTCAATATTCAAGTCAACACCCTTGAAATAATCTGTTCTTGTTTATTAAAATGATGTGCCTGTGCCTTGTTTTCATGCCGAGTTCACATACTTGAGCCTTCAGTTGATTAGCATTGGTTCAATGCAGTTAGGAATTGTATAGAGTATAAAATTGTATATTCCCTCTGTGTTTTTTCATGACATTTACTTTACTTGTGTGACTCAAAACATGCGTTTTATCTGAATCTCCCAGTATTTGCTTAATTGATGAATTTTAATGTTTAAATTGTTAGTTTAAAACTTAGTGAAGCTGCTTTGGTTGGCTGTCTAAATTGTCCCATGCTGTTGTAAAGACAGAAGGAGCCAATAGCAGGCAAAAATACTCCATTGGACCTTTCAGTTCCTCTTAACAACAATTAAACTTTTTCTTTGCAATTACCACATGGCAGCATTTCCATAAATTGATTGTTTCTTCAAATATAGTGAATTTTGCTGAAAGCCATTTTATTCCCCTGTCGAGAGTACATGAAAATTCATTTGGCTTGTTAGTGTGTAATTTCTCCATTTCTCCAGCATTATTTTCTGAAAGGGGAAACCAGATCAAACTGTCAAATGTCAGGTCACTCTGGAAAGTGAAAAAAAAAAAATTTAGCAGCATAATGTATTGCTATTAGTTTTAAAAGGATAGTAATTATGGCTGAATATTCATATTGCAGTTAAACTCTTGATGAAGCAGTCATAAATGCAAGTTTAAAATGTCAAGTGTTTTAAACCACTACTCAAAAGAGGAAAGAGAAAAAGCTAAAATTCAAGCAGTATTTTTGGTGATAAAAACATGTGAGACCTTGATCTGTATGGTATTTACTTTGTGATTTTAGAGTAATTTTAAAGTGAAATAAATGTAAACTTAAATTACATCTGCATGTGGTGGCCTGGTTTCTATTTTGCATTTTCTGGTGAACACTGAAAATTTTTCTTTTTGAATATACTCAGATGCGAAGACGAGCAGGTTGACTGATGTCTTGCAACAATTCCGAGATGGAGTTTACCCTCAGTATAATCCAGAAAAAGTAAGTGTTTACCCGATGGAAAATTGCTTTGATCTTAGGTTGAATAATTAACATTTTAATCTTCATAAATAGTTATTTTTATTTTATTTGTACAAAGATTATTTGATACACTGCAAATGAATTCACATATTACTTGTATTTAATTCCAGTTTTTTTTTAAAAATGTTTACCTTCAATGATGTAGAATTTTATGTTCAGAAAATGACAATAGGCTTTTACGTCTTGGGGTAATGACAAATTTATTTTCCACAGATTGCTACATATATATGTTATAATGTATAAATTTGTTAAGAGTAGAGCATATAATATTGTGTAGTAGTGGCAAGGTACACAATGTCTCATACATGCTTTCTGTGAAACCTTCAAAGTACATTTATAATAATTATGTCTTAAAAGAGAGAGACTTTTTCCTGTGAAAAAGTGCCAAGTAAAAGCACATTGATTAATAAAAGATTTAAAGTTGATTTGTGCGGAAAAATGAATTTAGGGAGTCAATTAAGTGTCTCTTTAATCCTTCCTGAAGTGAAGGATTCAAAATATTTCTCTCAATGATTTTTTCAAATATTTATAGCTTTTCAAGTATTTATAGCTCATGTATTCATATGCAATATTAGTGGCTCAGTTTTACTGATTTTAACTTCATCTGTTTATATGAAAAATTAGTGCATGAACTTTTGTATTTTGAAATGTTTTATGTTGGCATCAACCTATTTTGTGGTTAATCCAATCTGTTACATGTAGTTTTTCAAGGTCAATTTTGATAAAATTGTAATGCAAGTTACCATAACACCTGTTTACCTTGATCACTTAAATACACATATTAAATTCTAGAACTATACCTTCTCAAGATATTTTGAATGTGTCAAGGTTCCACAATACACATCATGTTTTAAATTATTAGGCTAACTAATTAACAACATGTTTTTTAATTTTTTTCCATACCTTATATATGTTGCTTTTGCTTATTTTCTCTGAATTTCAGGGCTCGAAATTAAAAAATCCCCTGTTGCCTTTTGGCGACCAACTGGAGAAATATAGTCGCCAGTTTGTATTTACTAAATGACGTACATGTAGCTCATAGTATCCATCAGCTTTGATTGTTTGAAAATATCACGGATAGAAGTTGGTATAAATTTGGAGGTAAACTGGCTAAGTTGTTTATGCTATTTGGTACATTTTTTATGACGAATGCAAAGCAAGATTTAACTTTACTCTTTTAATTTAAATCTAAATCATAGAGAAATCTGGTCGCTAAAGTGGAGACTAAACCAGAATTTTTGGTTGCCAAGGAGAGAATGTTAGTCGGATTAGTGAATATATCTTTCGCGATTTTGAGCCCTGCTGATACTTAATTTTGTGAAAATAAGAGGCAATTTTGGTATGAGATGATTTTGTGATTTGGCAGAGAGATTTTCTTGGAGCCCTTCAGTAGAGTTGAAAGGGACTATTTATGACATGAAATTTTCTGGGCTACATGTATGTCTTGTAATTCAAACTGATGAGGCCTTGTTAAGATAAAATTGCAGCAAGTGTCACTGCCTTGAAAGAGTGATATAAGACAGATAAAATGATGGCAAATGACATAAAGATGGGCTAAAACTACCACAGCGGCAAAGACATGCACAAGTGCAATACCAACAGGGATATGGCTTCCTTCTCAATGTGTGAAAAAACAAGTTTTAATATTCAGGCTAGGGATACATATCCCCCTTCCCTCACCTAACAGGCCAAGAGCTCTTATGATTAGACGTGTATGTACATGGATATGTTGTAGGTAAAATACATTCTCACCTTTAAAAAAATCTTCTTGAAAATTTTAACAATAAGTACAATACCAACCTGGTTATGCCTTCCTTCTCAGTGTGTTAAGAAACAGGTTGTGAAATTCAGACTAGGGACATACATGCACATTCCCTCTGCCCTCACCAAACAGGGCCTAGAGCTGTGATGTGTAGACATGTATGTAGCAGTGATTTGTTGTAGGTAAAAAAAA